TGGGAGGGGAGGGGGCCGATCTCTTTAAACCCAGTGAGAAAACAAATAAGACCACGAAATAGATTTTGCATGCAACTAATCGGAGGTCTGGCTGGCTGCTCAGCGACATGCATAAACACAGGTACGCACACCCACAGGCTCAGAACCTACGGAACAGGTGGATCCGCCAAAACCTCCACAGGAAGGAACTAAATAGTTTTCAGTTTAATTATTCACCAGACCAGCCCTTCATCCACGGATAAAACCCTAGAGCCTCTTTTTCAAACAGCCTGGGGAACTCTGCAGACATTAGGTTCCTTTCCAGAAAAAGCAAAATCCAACCTGCCCATCATCATTGGGCGCGAAGGGAAGAAGGTCGGAATCTGGGAAGCCGAGGGGGGTCCCGGCGCACCTGTTAAGTCTGGACTGCGGGGAAGATGGGCTGGGTGCGGGAAAGAGGGGTAGCGCCTGGCTCTCTGGGGTGCCCGGGGTTTGGAGGGGCGATGGAACGCGGAGGCGAGGACGCCCTGCCCAGCACCCTACGATGGAGACTGGTTTCCCAAAGGACCCGCGCTGGCTGCGAAGGGTGAGGGCTCTGCGCCGAGCCCGGGTGACAGGCGCCCAGCGAGCGCCAGGTGAGGGAGGACCGTACCTGGTACTCGGGGTACTCAAACATGTAGCTCATGCTGCACTTATTCTCCTCGAAGCCGAAGAAGACATCCCACAACCCCAGGGTCGCCAGGAACACCATGAACACATAGAACGCCAGGTTCCAGAGGTTGACCGAGTGGAGGAACATGGTGCTGACAGCCGAGGCTGCAGCCGAAGGGCCCCGAGCACAGACACTGCGAGGGAAAGACGCCCGTGCCCCAGCCGAGCCCAGCTAAGCAGCCCGCGCCTGCGCTGAGCCGACCAGCCCCCACCCCCCCGCGCCCGCTGTGCAGTGCGCCTGCGCACAGCCAGCCCGCGGCGCCGCCTACTGAGGAGGGAGAGCGAATATGCTAGAGGAGGTGGAGGGAGACAGCTGAGTGGGCTGGGCTGGAGGGCATGGAGGGAAAGCCGTGGGGGCGATGAAAGGGAAACCGAGAGGGAGGAGGAGAGCGGGGGATGGGAGCGCCGGAGTCTGGTGGAGAGGACGGGGAAGGGCTGGATGGGTACCAAAGGAATTTACCTAGGGCGTGGATACAGCCAGAACACCGAGACTGTAAATAATCCTGTGCTGACTGGCCCAGGGAACCAGGCAAGTCCAAGGCCTGTGGCCAGCTGCTGTCACATCGCAGACACCTTTCCCTGCAACAGTTTAAAATCCTTTCCTGTTCAATTTTGAAACGCCTCAGGCCTCTGCGATTTCATTTCTGTTGATGGAAACAGCATGTACATAGACTTCTGGACCAGTTAGCTGGAGGAGGAAACAAATGGCTTTCCCCTCCTTTGACCACCGACTCTTAGACCTTGTAGCTGATAGCACTTGGAAGCACCAGCTCATTAAAATAAAAGAACACAATAGTCAGAGGAGATTCTGTTCTTGGTTGAAAGCCTAAAGAAGGGTCTCTAGAAAACACTCCAAAAAATGTCCACTAGCATTAACTACCCAGCCAGGTATCCAATAGAAATAGAAATGAAATTGCAGAGGCCTGAGGCATTTCAAAACTGAACAGGAAAGGATTTTGAACGGTTGCAGGGAAAGGTGTCTGCGATGTGACAGGGTGAGGCTGATCTGTGGTGTTCTCCAGATCCCTCACATGTGTGGGAATTGGTTCCACGTTGATTTGAGAAAGCAATTATGCCCAAACTTCCATTCCCACTCGCTAGTGACTTAATTTGTTTAATTCGTTTGTCTTTGCACGAAGGAAGGAGGAGGGGGGTTTTAAAAAGCAGGTAATCATGCATCGCTGCTTCAGAATGCTGGAATGTGGGAGCCGACAAAGTGTCAGTCCTTAAAGCTGACCCAACAACAGATGAGAAGTTCCTGTGTGTCTATGTTGTTAACTTCAGAATTCACCTTAAAATGGTTCTGGGTATTGACTCAGTTTCATTTTATTTAGGCTAGTTGCCTACTATATCTTCTGATCAGAGTGAATTTGACTATGATTCATGAAATCAAAGAATTTTAAAACTGAAAGGAAGTTTATAGTTTATCTTATACAAAACCCTGATTAAGAAAACTATGAAGGGCCCTGTAGAGATGGTTCAGTGGTTAAGATCACTAGCTGCTCTTGCAGAGGACCCAGGTGCTGTTCCCAGCACCCACATGGCAGCTAACAACTGTCCATAATTCCTGTTCCAAGGGATGCGACCATCTTCTGGCTTCCCCAAGGCCTTGTACAACAACACTGGTGCACTTACATACATGCAGGCAAAATACTCTTACACATAAAAATTTTAAATTTTTTAGAAAAATAAACTATGAAGGTGAGGCGAAGTGATTTGAATAAAGATATTCCTTACCCTACACAGAAACATTAGCAGGTCTAAGGAAATACAGTTAGCTCGTGGATATGGAATAGTGGCAAAATAAAAAGAAATGGGGAATGGACAGGCAGACTGCTTTGATGTATGAAGGTAGATTTGGAAGGACCAGAATAACATGCAGGAGAATGGTGGGTAATACTAGCTCGCAGGGTAATAGTTAACTAATATGTATTTGAGGTATCTATGTTTTTGATGTAGTGTGTTCACTTGATGCATTAGTTCCTTGTCTTATTGCTGTCACAAAATATCTGGATAGAAACTGTAGGGGATCCTGCCTGACACAGGAGCCAGGGAAAGGGAGGTGAGCTGTCCACCCGTTACCCGCAGCCTCCCCGGGAGACAATCAGACTCGACAGGGAGCCAGTCAAGCAGGAACTCATTTATTGCAGGCGTTACAGGGCTTAATGAAGGCAAAAACCACAAAGGAAAATCCCCTCCCCAACCAAGAGTCCAATCATGTTAAAGGTCAACTTGAGCATGCAGTCTCCTCTCCATGGCACAGCATAGTGTTCACGAAGTGATCACTCACTGCCAAGATGCACAGAAATGACAGGAGCCAATTAGCAATTCTCCAAAACAAGTCTGGCCGCACCCCAGCCACTTCCTCTAGGTGCCAAACAAGTCTGGTCACACCCCAGGTGTTTCCTCTAGGCGCCTTCTTCCCTCGCCCCTGGCCTCAGGCCCCCGCATCTCTCTCTTTTAAAAGTGAGGTTCCTCAAGGATAGTCCCAGGGACGGGGAGCACCGTCCCCTTTCCCCGCCACTGCTATGGCCTCCGTCTTAGGTCACCTCTCCTCAGGTGCTGAAGTTGCCCGTCCTTGGGTAACCATGATTGCCCTCATGGCCCCTGTCTTAGGTTCATCAGTCTGGGAGGCTCTTACCTGTCATTGGGATTAGCCACGCATTTAGATGTCAGGGGTCTATCCCATAAGGGGGCAAAACAACCGGGGCCCTCAGGCTAGCTCAAGCATCCATGCCTGGATTTGTCTTGAGGAGGGGTCTGAGGGGGATTGGGTGGCCAGGGCAAGTTGGACCAGGACTTTCTTCGTCTGTCTTTGTCTTCTGATAACTGAGCAGAGACACCTGAGAAGAACAAAAGCTAGCACAAGCATTAGAAACATGCTCCCATACCTTACTAAAAAAGGAGTCCAACGATAGGACCGGGGCTCGGGTATAATTTAGAGCAATAATCAGATTGGTCAGCAATATGAAATAATTAAGAAATTGTTGGTTCCAGTGGCCATGAATATAGTCCATGAGTTGTAGGCGCGATTTAGTAATATTTTGAATTCTGTAGGGCGTGAGACAAAGTGACCTAAAGCGAGGGTCGCAAGCTAGCAGAGCCATGTCTTTGGTAATTGTCAGCTCTTCACTTAAGAGAAGGGCAAGAGTATAGGTAGGGAAGGGACCAAGACCCAGAGGTCCTCAGCTTTTATGACAGATGGCTAGCAGGAGAAGGAGTACCATTACTGACAGATTTTGGTCACCCATCTATTGATCAGATCTTGAATAATGATGGTAACAATAAAGATGATGATGGCCAGGGCAGCAGCAGTGAGCATGGCAATGAAAGCCTTCCATCCAAAATACTCCATCCTGTAAGACATAGAAATCCTCCTCAAAGGGCTGTTACCTTTGGGATGGGGTTATTCCTGCATCTTTAGATTCCTTGCAGGTACCCAGATGGGTTGGGGTTCATCCATAGGAAAGACGCATCCAAACCCCCTGCCCATAGTAAGGAGCGGGTTGGGTCCTCACCATTGTCCCATTACTGGATCCTTCCATCTGACCCATACCTCTGGTCTTTGCTCCTGATGCCCCCCAATGTTTTTGGAAACGAGATTCCAACTGACCTTTTTGAAAACTGAGGATATTGATGGTAAATAAGGCCGAACCTAGCTGTTGGTGGGGGCTTACTCCCCCTTTTTGTTTTTGTAATTGGGTCTTTAGGTCCTGATGGTTACGTTCTATGATAGTTTGGCCCTGGGGGTTATAGGGGATCCCCATGTTATGGTGGATTCCCCATAAAGAGAAGTCCTGTAAGCTTTTACTTATGAAGCATTGTCCATTGTCAGTTTTAATCCTTTGAGGTAATCCCAGCATAGCGAAGCACTGGAGAAAGTGAGACTGAGCATGTTTAGACTTTTCTCCTGTATGGGCAGGAGCCCAACAGGCATGTGAGAACATGTCAATAGACACAAAAACATACTTGAGTTTTCCAAAAGGAACATAATGTATGACATCTGTCTGCCAAAGAGAGTTAGGCTTCAGCCCCCTAGGGTTTACCCCTGGTTGTTGGAGGGGTGGCACCTGTAGAAAGGGTTGACAAGACTTACAGGTATGCACAATTTTTCTTAGGTCCTTGATAGGGACTTGAGGGAACCTCTTATGGAGTTCCTGCCAATTTACATGGGTACGATTATGCAGTTGTTGAGCTTTCTCCAGGCCTGCTGATAGGATATGGGTAGAAACCATTTTGTCTACCTCTGCATTTCCCTGGGAGAGGAACCCAGGCAGTCCTTGGTGGTCCCTAAGGTGCTATAAGAAAATGGGGGCCCTTCTTTCTGTTAACAATGTTGGAACCTGGATCATTAGGGGGGGTACTAGGGTTGTCATCTAACCGAATATGAGAATTTAATAATCCCAGGAGAAGGTTGACTACATATAGGCTGTCAGAGAACAAGTTCATGGGGTCATCTACTTTGGACAAGGCTAGGGCAATGGCCATGAGTTCTTTAAATTGAGCCCTTGCAAGTGTGAACGTATGTTTTTGGTTCTGTTCCTACTGCCAGGTAAATTACTACAGTGGCTCCAAATTTTCCTCCATCAGTAAACATATTATACACCTCCGTCAGAGGGTTTTTGACAAAAAGCCTGAGGGCCCCCAAGTGGAGGATGCAAAAAGAGGTTACCCATTTGTGAGGGCCGTAATGACAGTCCAACTTTCCCAGAAAGCCCTCCGAGGCTATGGCCATTCGGCTGTTGTTTCTGCAGAGACATTCAAAGTCCTTTAGCCGATAAGGGATAATAATCTTGTGGGGGTCAATGCCATAATGTCTCAGGGCTATATCCCATCCTTTCTCAATTAGGTCAGCCAACTGGTCCTTGGGTGTATACACCCGTGGAGTGCCCCCTAGGGAGGTAAGCACCCATTGGAGGGGCCTCCCCCCTTGTATGAGGACGGATGTCATCAGGGCCTCGCCAGGGAGTACCCATAGTTTGAGGTCCTTTCCAGGCATATAGTGGGCCAGTTGGGCTTTGTCCAGGGCCTCCTGGACCCCCTGTAAAATGTCTAGGTGTTGCGGGTTCAGATGGATTAGCTCTGATGGCTGTTTGCCTACCAACAATTGGAACAGGGGCTCCAGTGTCTCAGTGGAGACAGGCATCCAGGATTGTAGCCAATTGATCTCCCCCAATAGTTTTTGAAGTTCTGTCA